TCCTACTTGTCTTTGCTGACTGCCAACTGTCTTCTTAAGTTGCCAATGAGCGGCCAGGCAGACACACGCCTGACCGGAAGGCAATCACCATGTTTGGACGAGTATTGCCAAACATGGAGCTTCAATGACAGTCATTCTTTTTCCTTTGAATTCACTATGGAGATTCTGACCCGGTTCAAATGAAACTCCGCGCTGCAAATGATACAAGATTTCTACGTAATTTTCGTAGGAGAAAAGACTAAGAGGAGACTAACGTTGATCAGAAAATCATTAAGACGCTATTGCGACTGTTTCACTGAACATTTAAACGACTAGCCAGAATGACCAGAATACCCGGTGACCGAGGTCATCGTGCTCTCCGAGCATGTACTCATATCAGACGCAACAGACATTCCGTACATCGGGGGTGAGGCGTTTTTCCTGAATACGAATTGCTCTCGAGCCGCCTCTTGTGTATCCATTTGTGTCGCCTCGACCACGCACTTGACGCAAAATGTGACCTTGCGCTGGGTTAGACTCAAATCTGGGGCAATAAAGCTCAGCTTCTTGGAAATCTTGCACGAGCTGCACACAGCTCCAAAGCAAAGCTTGCAAGTTGCAACTCCGCCACCCAGTCTCGACGCTTTGACTCCTTTCATACACGTCACACAGAACGGCTTGAAGGCTGGTGTACCTCTCTCACGAGCTTCTCCTTGCTTCTGCTCCAGTAACCACGTTAACTTCTTCATCTGACCACAGTAGGAGTACTTTAAGCCAGCCATTGTGGCTTGTACCATGCCCATGACAGCCATGGCCCGGATCATGTCACCACCAGGGTCCATGATACCAGTTCCGCGACAGTCCGTTCTATCCGGACCCTCTTGGTGGAAAATACCGCAGAACGACATGTTACCACGTACTCGGTTCGGTAACTCGTGGACTTCTTGAAAGTTTACAGAGTGGAACAAGTGGTAGCCCACACGCTCACCGTTTTGAAGATGAAGGATACCGGTACTCTCGACGTAGACATAGTCCCGATTGCGCACGAGCCCAATTGACGCAAGTGGGATGTCGATCTCCATCCACTTGACGACCACCGATCGGAACGGGTCGTCTACAGTGGGCTCAACTACCGTGGCGAGTACAGCCGCAGCGTTGAAGTCACTCAAATACGATGACTTGATCCTCATAGACTCGATCGTCGGGTTGACGATGCCAAACATGTTCTCGTCGAGTGTGCCAGGGAGTGGCCCGACCATCAGCAGCTGGGGGAGTTTAGTATTCGGAGTCGAAGACTTGCGCTCCAGATACGTCGTCGTAGGTCCCGACTTGGCGAATTTCTTCCAACGTTTGAGGTCCACCTGCTTGCCGATGTTGAGGTGCTCTTCGTACTCCTCGAACTTGGCCATGATGATCTCATCGGTGATCTCCACGAGCCTGGCGCGGTCTTCAGCGGTGAGCGTGAGCTCCCCGAACGGGTTCAAAATGAAACGTTGATCGTTCATCTCGCAAGTCTTCAAGTGATTTGACCGAAAGAACTTGCGGCCTGACAACGGAAGAGGACAAATCTCGCTTGTGAGCCTGTACAGTATCCACCAGCTGATTTGATGACTTCCCGAGCTCTTATGATTAATAGGAAAACTGTAAGCGGTGCGAATTGGTCCTCAGCTGTGAGGCTCCTCCATAGTCAAGGCCATTTGCGCGAAAAGTGTGTTTTTGTATTCGACAGGTTCTTATGACGACCACCATCAGAGTCCAATCTTGGTCTGAGGGGCCACATCATGTGGCACATGCCGTGCAACTTGCACTTGCAATAGGCAATCGTTAACGCTCTATATCGATAGACTGCAACAGCTGGCTTGACATGTGAAGAACAAGTTCTTTAAAGGCTCTCCCTACGTTCACCAACTATTGGGTAGAAAAAAGCTTGTTTTCCGAATTTATCGTACGAACGATAAACCGGTATGAGCCGGTATGAGAAGAGTATTTGTGAAAAATATTTAAAAGCCTATGTATGGCACACAAGTTTCGGACTCTGTGAAATCGCATTGCTGCATTCGTTGCTGGGACCTGCTTTCCGTCAGTGCCTCGACGACCGTGTCGTCTGCGAGGCGGCGCAGCAGCATGTGGCACTCGACATGCAACAACCATACCATAATGACGACGGTATGCGCTACATGTATTGTATGCCTTTTAGTTATCGAAAATATCGAGCCATATCGTCTCGAACATTTTGTACCTGCACTCTTCAATATCCTTTTAACAAATATACACCCGTCGCACAGCCAGTTTTCACCCGCAAACCTAGTTAGATCTTGAAACTGAACAATTGTTTCTGCGATCCGAGACTTGAATGCGGAATACATATTCAAAGTAGGCAGCGTGGAGAGAATGCTCTGTTGTACACCATTTTCCGGCTTTGATTGAACCCACTTGATCAAGTCTCGCGTGCTTTTGATTCTCTTCGAGAGAGTATGCCATTCCTTCATAGTATTCACGTCTTGTAGTGAAAAGACCCCCACGCCCAAAATATGCACTCCAATTTCGCCTAGTGTGGGTGGCAGTCTGTTCTCGAAACACTGCATTTTTTGCTGCTGCTACTGATTTGTCCACCAGAACTTCCGGGATGACATACCGAATGTTGGTTTCAACTTGCAGCTCTTCTCCACGTCTTTTCAAGCGTGCCTTTGGCCGTTTATATATGGCCCCTCCAAACATCGGGCGAATAGCCGAAAAGACTGGGTCGATTGACGCGAGAGACAACTTTTTTTGGTCAACATATTCACGAAGCGTTGTAAGTGTTATGTCGCCAACAGTTGTCAACTGCTTCGAAAGGGTCTTGGTTTCTTGAAGCTCTTTGCGCGCCTTGGCTTTTTTTGTTGCTTTCTTCTCCTTTGGTCGTCCTGCAGGGTTGCTGGCTGGATTGAGTAGAATGATCGGGGTTTTAACTGCACCAGTATTCTCAGAAGCCATATCAAGCCGTCTTCGCGTTGTACGCGTTGTATCGCTGACTGAGTTCGTTGCAATATCACCAATCCCAAGCGAACTGGATGCACATTCACCATTGCCATTAACTTGCGGGACTATCACTTTGGAACCAGGCGTACCGGCATCCACTGAATTGGCGATTGATTCGCCAATATCATCACAATTTGCGACAACCACACTTGATTTGGTGACTTCTTCACTAACATCAGGAGAGTTGGTGACTTCTTCACTAACATCAAGAGAGCTGGTGACTTCTTCACTAACAAGAGGAGAGTTGGTGACTTGCTCACCAATTTGAGGAGAGTTGGTGACTTGCTCATGTGGTGTAGTAGAACACACAAATATCGTCAGATGTGGATTCCTTACACAAACCACAACGAATCGCCGAGTTAGGTCGGCGGTTTGTATGGCCTGCGCAGAGGGTGGTCCCCTCGCGGTCCGGCCCTTCCGGGACAGACGAGTGGCTCGTTTCCACTCGGTTCCGACTAACCAAGTCAGATCACTTCCGAGACTCCGCCGAGTTTGGTTCGGCTGAGCTCGTTCACAACCCTGTGCCCTCCACCAAAGGATGGACGACGGCGCGCGAGCGCTTTTACAGGTCACCGAGCGCAGAGGCTGCTCAGCTAGAAGTGTTACGGCACCCGGGCTATCCGACGTACCGGCCCGCTGAGTATGCGGGACTTTCTTTCGCGCGTAGCGAGACTTTGTCCTACCCGGACCGACCTAATCTCTTGGCGCTACCAGTCAATACTCTACAAGCTATGCCTCTCGAGTATTGACGGCAGGCATAATCCAGCCCTATGCAGGGACTTACCGGAAAAGTGTACACGTGTCTTGGACTAGGAAAATTCTGCTCTGTTATCTTCTGGGAGCCTTTTCGGCTCCTCCTATTTAATCCTATGCTTCTCATACAAATATCTAGTGAAATGTAGTCGTTTCGGATCTCTACCGACTCTTCAGGCGGCCGTTGAGCTCAGCGGCTATCCGGATAGCATATCCGGACAGATCGCCGAGTACTTACCGTGATCCTTGGCTCCTAAGCTCTGGGTTATCAGACCGAGCCGATTCTTGACCTAAAGTAGGTCGGCGTATGGTCGAATCTGGAAATCCCTACACCACAACTGCCCCGGTTATGATACGAGCCGAGCTGGTGAGTGTCTTAATCCTTCATTTTGTTCTGCCACCGTTGGTCCGTACTCGGCTGATGACGTCTCGCGGCTCCCCACCACCTTCTTTGGTACGTTCGTTGCTTCCGCTATCACTCACTTGGCAGCTCCTTACTCTTCGCATGTTGTTCTAGCACAACCCGTGGAACCATCCTTCTTCTCCAACTCCTCGTCGAGGTGAAGGCGTGCCAGCTGAGTCGATTCCTCGACCCGTCGGTACTCGTGGGGTCAGTGACCGGCATGAAGCTGGGCTGGTCGACCTGACAACTTCCCATGAGTCTGACGCGGAGTCGGCGGGGTCTTCTCGCGTGCGCCTTCCTGGTCCACCGAGCTTGCCAGGCGACACCACTTCGGGCGCCACCAATCAGCCAAGCTCGGCTGCTCCAGTGAGTCTTGACTCCCTCATGGCCAGAATTAACGAGCAAGGGCATGATCGCCGAGAAGAATTGACCTTCTTGGCGAGGCTCATGGCTTACGGATTCACTCGTTCCGTGGAACCCTCCGATCCTGTACAGCGGCGAGCGATTTTGCATGCTGCTTCCGCGGGGGAACTGTTGGATATCCTGAAAGGCAATTACGCCGCTCTTGATTACCCCAAGATCATCGGCGATCTCCAAGCTGACAACCAAGCTGTTCAGGAGGAGAACCGCGCATTGACTCGGCGACTGGACTCGCTTGCTCTCAGTAATGTCGACTTGTCAACTCAGCTCTCGTCGGCTCAACAGCAAGTGTCTCGATTGGAGGCTGCTGCCAAGCAATCGGCTAATCTCCTCGCGTCGCTGCGGAAGGCTGTAGCTCTGAGTGAGGCGAAACTTGCTCGGGCCATCGCAGCTGAGCAGAGCAAGGTCGACGCTGCGTTGAGTCAGGCCCAGCTCCACCATCAGCAAGTCTTGGATCGGGACGCCGAGATCGACGTCCTTCTTCGATCCATTTCTGAGAGGGATGCGGCGTTCGTTACTCTTCAGGGCATCGCTTCCAAACACTTCGAACAGCTGCAGGAGTCGGTGCGGTTGTACAGTTCCACCGGTACTCAACCCTTGCGGCACGCTCAGTCGGTGATCGCTGAGCAGCGAGCGGTGATCTTGCGACAGAAGCGGCTCATCCGTCGGAATGGTATTATTCCGATGCACGATCCTCACATGGCTGCTGCTGCTGGCGGTGGCTTGCAAGTTCCTGGGCTTGATCCGTCCGACCTTCTCCTCAACGCCCGGCTGTGTCGTGTCTTGGAGTCTCGCTTTCCTGAGGTTCTCAACATTCCCGCTGGTGAAACTCGGCGGTTGGAGTTGATTGTCCATCCTCGCCGAGATGCTCCAGTGGCGAGTTCCGTTATTGGTCCTGGTGTGGTTCCCTCAGCTAGTCAAGGGTCTTCGACGACTTCATTGGCAGACTCGGCTGCGGCTCCAGTCAGCTCGGCGGCGGTAACCACTCAGGCTGAGCCGACTCTTGCTCAGCTTCACCGTACGCCTTTGGCAAACTTGACCTCGACTCAGCAGCTTCGGCGTTATGCCAACCCCAAGTCTCCCACAGCCGCAGGTCCTCGTCAGCGTACGCCGGCGCCGCATCCGCCTCAACCGTACGCTTGTCCACTCCCCGGAGAGGATGGACACGAGGCTATCAGTGCCCTTTTGCACTCAAGTTCGCCTCAAGCTACTGCATCCGATGGAGGAAGCCTCGCTCTGGAAAGTCCCGTCGTCGGACTCGGCGGAAGAAGGTTCGTCACCTTCAGCTGAGTTCTGCTACTCAGCCCGCTGTCTCTGCTCGCTCTGAAGACGACGGTGACGCTTCGAGCGAAGCTGAGGTTGAGTTTGAGTTGCCTGAGCCGCCCGCCGACACCGTTCCTGCAGTCGCTTCGACGACTTCGGTGGGTTCTTCGTCTTCTGGCCCTCCGGTGACTTCGTCGGTCGCGGCTACTCGCCCACCGCCGATATCTTCATCTGATGTCGTGGCCTCACTGCCTGTCCCGGCTACGAGCGTGGGTGCCCCAGGCTCGACTTCGCCCATCTCCGCTGGGTTGCCCCAGTCGAGCGCACCACTCAGCGTCGTGCTAACGGTGGTTGGACACTCCCAGTCGCCCTCTCGGGGTCTGAGCGTATCCACCACGCCGACTGACTTAGTGACTCCGGCCGTGAGTGTCCTCAGACCGTCTCTCCCTGTGACCACGGCCGTGTTGACGTCCCCATCTGGGCGTCCTATTCGGAGATCGGCTGCGACCGCCCGTACTGTGACTGCTCAGCTGCTTGAGGATCTCGACGCGTCTGACGACGAGGTGTTAGGGCCTGGTGATGGTTCTGTTCCGTCCACCGGCTCGACAAATCCTGCCGTTGGGTCGCTCTTGAATCCCATTTCCTTATCAGAGCACTCGGCTGGCAGTCCTTCCGGTTCCGACTCAGCGACCGCAGATGCTCGTCGTTCCGCCCAAGCGAGAGGTCTTCATGCGGCGATCTTTGGTTCTGACGATGAGATGAGTGATGAGTCTTTGCCGCCGAGTGATCGCCCCTCCTCGCGGCTTTCATCGAAGGACTCTGGTGACGGGAGAGTTCTGCCTCTGGCCCCGGCTTCGGGGGAAGCCGTAGCATCACAAGCGTCCTGCCTCAGCGGAGTTCATATCAGGTCTCGGTCCAAATCGGTCGAAGTAGCTCAGGAGCACTATTTAGCACGTCATATGAGTCGGCACCGTAGTGTGATGGGCATCGTTCAAGCGAAACATGAACAGACCGCGTCCAAGACCCAATCCGGGGGCTACTTATCGCACAAGTACCCGTTAACAGCAAAAAAATAGATAGAACAAGAAAAGAAATGTAAGAAGATAGGATGTAATACGGAAAAAATAAAAGAAATAATGATCAATTGGAAATAGGAAACAGCCAGATGGACAATTATATACCACAGAATATGTTTGAGTGTGTTCCCCCACCCATATGCTGCAGGAGCAGAACCAGTAAGAGAGTGACAGCTTACGCACTGCTTTAGAGGTAGGATGATTAGGGATAGTACGATATTCAGCAACAGGTGGGACGCAGAAGAGACACATGGCCTACGAGACAGGATATATAAC